AGGAATTTACTGATGGCTAAGCATCAACATCTTTTATTGCTGCTGTTCATGGAGTTTCCAGACCCACAACAAGGTACATGATAAACCAGAGAACAAATCAGAGTATTTGGCAAAGTAATGGCACCCCAGTGTTCTTTGTGGAAAAGAATTATGACCCTCGAGAGTGCTGCCATTCTCACAAGGTGTGAACTGAAGAAAGTTCCCTAAGTAGTTCACCATGATTGGCAAAGAAAACACAAGCATGAATTATTCTCTAGTTAGGCGGCTGAGATAGGTAATAAAGAAGGGGCCAATATTCCTACTTCATCAGCATAAAGATTCAACAGAAATTTCCTTCTGGCCTACCTGGCAGCATCTGAACCCAAGGTTGGTCATCATTGTCACTAGTCTGCTTTGTTAGCCAACAGAAATCCACCAAGGAATGATGACCATGCATTGGTGTATACACAAACTTGGATACTAGTATATGTGTGTGTTGGGGGGAGGAGGGGATGGGGAAGGAGATGAATGTAAAGGCATAATGGCATGCAAGACAATGAGCTCACAGAGACCAAAAAATAAAAATAAAAGGAAGAAACACGTAATGTCAGACCAGAGCTGTTGTACCTAAAACACCAAATTAATCTGGGATGTAGTAACTGTGCCCAGCTGAAGTGATTCTGCTCTGGATTACTGCAGAGAGATGTGGTCCTATTAAAGATGGCATGTGTGGCTTCAGTTTGAATGACTGTTCTCCACAGGGGAGGCAGCTGCGAGTGCTAAAGGCAGACAGGAATGCAATTAATAGGGCTGCTTGCTACCGCATTTGAAAAGTATTGCAGGTAAGTCTTTTCTACCTCAAAAGAAAGAGGCCAACTGAAAAATATCCTGTAGTTCTTTTTTAGAAGTGGGTAATGCTCCAAAAGGGCTTTTCTAGATGTCCAGTTAGAATCACAGAGTCACCAACTGGTCAATGTCTCCTGGGAATGGTCAAACTCTACCCAGGAGACGAAGAATGAGAAAGATGATTTCATGTGAGCATAACCATATTCTAACCTGAAAACTTTGTACTCCAGTCTATCTCCTGGCCCTGGGGAAACAGTTTTTAATTAGAATAATACAATTAAGAATACCTCACAAATTACTCAAAATGAAAAGAGAAATATTTCTCATCATAATCACAAAAAAAACTTTTCTTAATGCATAGGTCTCATCTTTTCCTAATAGATGGTATGCGCTGTATCTGTTTATTCTTTTGAAAAATTTTGGTTAAAAGTATTGGAGGTTCAAGTCCCGTCTCTATCAATTAGTAGCTGTGTGACTGGGAGCTATTTTTAAGACCTACCGGGAACCAGCAGTTAGTGTAATGGCTATGTCACTGGACTCCCACGTGGTCAACCATGGTTCACAGCCCGGACCCAGTGACTTAAAACTCACGCCGGGCGCGTGTGCATGCGTGCCCAAGATCCCGAGAGGAGAATGGAGGAGAAGGGATTGCAGCGTGACCATCCTCCCTGGGGGGTGATTTCTCGCTTTCTGTCTCTATGTCTCTCTCTGTCTGTCTGGCAAGCGTACACGCCCTATAGCGAAAACCTCTCCAAAAAAAAAAAAAAAAGACTTATCCAAGCTTCGATCTCCTTAAAGGTAAAAATAGAAATTGGTAACAGTACCTATATATTGAGTAAAGAAGGGATTAAATGTGATAATATGTGGTATGTTTAGCACAGTGTTGGCCCTTGGTAAATGCTAAATAAATGATAGTAGTTATTATCCAACGGTAAGTAAACAGTAATAATGTTTTATCAGTGTTACTTTTCTCAGTAATTAAGAGTATCTTCT